TTTAACAATTGTGTCAGTAAATTTTATAAATTAATTAAAAAATAGTCATTATTTAAACCAGGAGTCAATAAACTATGGCCCACTATCCTATTTTTGTAAATAAAGTTTTATCTTAGCGCAGCTGTGGTCAATATGGCTGCTTTCAGGCTACAATGGCAGATTTGAGTAAATGCTATCTGACCCTTTATTTATCATTGTAATGTTTCATTTATTTTTGAGACTGAGAGTGTGACTGGGGGAGGGACAGAGAGAGGGGGAGACAGAAGATCAGAAGTGGGCTTTGCGCTGACAGCGGCAGGCCTGATGTAGGGTTTGAAACTCACAAACTGTGAGATCGTGAACTGAGCCAATATCGGATACTCAACCACCTGGGCCACCCAGGCACCCCTCTGCTTGACCTTTAGAAAAAAATATTTCCAGTCCTGAAGCCATTAGTCATGAGATGGTATGCATTAGCCCAAATACTGCAAGACTATAAACCAAGGTGACTATTATAAGATGTGGCTACTTGGGGGGCACCTGGGTGGCTCAGTCGGTTGGGCCTCTGACTTCAGCTCAGGTCATGATCTCGCGGTTTGTGAGTTTGAGCCCCGCATCAGGCTCTGCACTGACAGCGCAGAGCCTGGAACCTGCTTCAGATTCTGTGTCTCCCCTCTCTCTCTGCCCCTCCCCTCCTCACGCTCTGTCTCTGTCTCTCAGAAATGAATACACGTTTAAAAAAAAAAAAAAAAAAGATACGGCTACTTGGGAAAGACTTACCAGAAAAGATGTGCTGTGAAAGGTAGCATAGAGGGAAATAGAGGGAACATATAGAGAAGGGTATTTTCTGCAGGTGAGAGCAGCGTAAGTAAAATTACTTAGGAGTGAGCACATTTTGAGCACATGGGACTAATTTGAGAAGTGGTGTAGCCAGGTTGGAATTAGACAGGAGTGAGGATGAAGCTGACTAGGAGAGGTGGTTGACGGAGGTCTTAAAAGCTAAACATCAGAATTTGCACGAGTCTGACAGGCTAGTGAGACCCCCCCTCGGAATTCTTCGCAGGGAAATGATATGATGGAAAGGGCGTGTAGGATGATTAATCTGACAGCAGCGATGGGATGCGATCATGCATGGAGTTGCCCAGACCAAGCGGTTACTGAAGTTAAGTCTAGCGTGAGAAACTGAGACAAGGAGGGTAGAAATGGGGAACAGAGGTGGGCTCTGAGGTGCTGGGAGGGATGAAACCAACTCCGATCGAGTGGATTTAGAAGATGGTGGCACAGGGACTTGTGAGAGGGAAACTGAGAAACGTGGAACCAAAATGGTAAACTTTTTTTTTTTTAATGTTTATTTATTTTTGAGAGAGAAAAAGAGAGAAAGTGTGAGCAGGGAGGGGCAGAGAGAGAGGGAAAGAGGATCTGAAGTGGGCTCCATGCTGACAGCGGAGAGCCTGATGCAGGGCTCGAACTCACAAACCATGAGATCATGACCTGAGCCACGGTCGGATGCTCAGGCGACCGAGCTACCTGCTTGGGTGGTAAGTGTTTTTGTGAGCAAAAACATGTACTTTCCTTTTGAGCTCTCTAGTCTTTGGCTTTATTTTATTATTTTATTTTTCCAGTCGCTGGCTTTATAAGACAGGGTAGGGAAGTGTTTAGCTACATGGACTGGGCTCTGGGAGAGTTTCCAGAAAACTCTTGGGAGCAGTAAGGAAGATGGGGCACAGGAAGTGCAGTGGACAGAGGAGTAAGGAGTCCATGGAGCAGAGTTTCCCAGTGTCTGTCCCAGGAAAGGCTGGCTATATAGACTGTTCACAGATATTTCTAGAAAAAAGGGTACCATGATCAGATAAGATTGGTAAGCTCTGGGTTAAGCTAAGTTTATCAGACGTCTTGCTTTAGAACTTCCCAGATTCTATAACTAGTGTTTACCATCATTTATATCTTCAACCAAGCTCTGTCTTTCCAATGATAGATTCATGTATACAACTTTCTGTCTGACACCTCTTTTTGGAAATCTGTCAGACATCTGAAACTTACCTGTTCAAAATGAAACTCCCAGTCTTTCCCCACAAAACTTGTTTCTCTATCTCAGTTGATGCCAACTCCATCTTTTCCTTTAGTAAAAAAAAAAAAAAAAATGCCATGGTAAGTGATGTATGCATTTTCCCCCCTAAATTTTGCGTGTTTTGGTTTTTTTTTTTTGAGAGAGAGGGCGCAAGTGAGTGAGGGGCACAGAGAGAGAGAGAGAGAGGGGGAGAGAGAGAGAGAGCAAGAGGAGAGAGAATCTCATGAAGGCTAAAGAGAGGTGAAGAGAGAAAGAGAGCAAGAGCATGCAAATGAGCGAGGGTCAGAGAAAGAGAATCCCATGAGGGGCAGAGAGAGAGAGAGAGAGAGAGAGAGCGTGCGTGCGTAAGGGGGGGAGAGAGAGAGAGAAAGAGTGGAGCTCACCCAAAGTGGGGCTTGTGCTCACTCCATGTGGGGCTTGAGCTCACCAACTGTGAGATCATGACCTGAGCCAAAGGCCGATGCTTAATAACTGAGCCCCCCAGGTGCCCTAACTTGTATAAAATGCAAGGAATGCATTTTAGGAATGGTGATTCCTAAAGGAATGGTGATTAAAATGAGAGGTGTTCAGATAAAAAAACTTTGGAGTCATCTCTGAACCTTCCTTCTGTACTCTCATCCAGTCATTAGCTCCCACATTGGCTCTACCTTCAAGTATATCTCGAATCTGAGCACTCCTTATTTCAAGCGATTCTGTTAAAATCTAATCCACTTTTCTCCTGTCGTAGCTTCCTGTTTCACTCAGGATAGATACATCTGTCGTACTGGTGACCTCCAGGCCTTTAATGATCTGCCTTCTCATTGACTTTCTGATTTCCCATTCTCTTCTTCCTTCATCTACTCCTGACTCCTTTCTTTGCTCTTTCTAGACTGAACCTTAAGTGCTTTATGGGCTTTGGGCTTCTGCATTGACTGTTTACTGTGCCTGTGACACTCTTCCCCCAGACATCTGTTTGGGTGACTCACCAAATGTCAGACTTTCTAGAAGAGACTGACCCTAATTACCATATCTATTTATTATTTTTTTTTTATTTTTGTAATTAAAATTTCTTTTAAATGTTTAGTTATTTTTGAAGGAGAGAGAGACAGAGCATGAGCAGTGGAGGGGCAGAGAGAGAGGGAGACACAGAATCCGAAGCAGGCTCCAGGCTCCGAGCTGTCAGCACAGAGCTGGATGTGGGGCTTGGACTCACTAACTTTGAGATCATGACCTGAGCTGAAGTTGGAGGCTCAACATGCTGAGACCCAGGTGCCCCTCTCACTACTGTATTTAAAATAGAAAGTATGTCTGTAATTTTCTAAGTTCCATGAATATAGGGATTTTTGTCTATTTTGTTTCCTGTGGTCAATGAAGCACCCAGAGCAGAGCAAGACCCCAAATAGACAGCCACCTGATAAGTACTTGTTACATGAGTGAATGAAAATTCAAGGTGGAAATATATGTTCCTTACAAAATCCTTTCTTTTCAAAGGTTATTTATTTATTTTGAGAGAGAGGAAGAGTGCTTACAAGTGGGGGAGGGGCAGAAAGAGGGAGAGAGAGTCCTAAGTAGGCTCCACCACTGTCTGCTCAGAGCCCAACATGGGACCCCATCTCATAAACCTGTGAGATCACGACCTGACCCAAAACCAAGAGTCTCTTGGTTAACCTGTTGCTTAAGTACCTGAGACAGGCGTCTCTACAAAATCCCTTTTTTTACCCTCTTGGCAATCTCTTTGTCCTGGGTTTCCCAGGGGCACACTTTGGGAAATTCTGGTATCTTACAGAATTCAAGCGAGCAGAAAATTCCAAGAAAGAGGAGATGGACACATCTGGGAAGTTGAAAAAATTTTGACCTGAGTGAAACTAATGGATAGATTTTGATAGGGGACATAATTTTTTAGTCTGAGAATAAGCTGTTCCAGTGCTGTGAAATGTCTAACAAGGGAGTTAAGTTGGACCTAGATGTTGAAGAATGCTGGGATAAGTCCCTTAGCCCTGGAAGAAGGGGACAAAGTAGTTACAGCTACAGGTTCAACACGCCACCTCCATTTGTGAGACCAGGAGAGCTTGGTTTTGCTGCCTTTTATTTTTATAAGGTAATCTGGAGTACCTGGATTAAATTTTTTAAAAATCTTAATTATTATTTGTAGGTATAATAAATAGGTGAGCTAAAGCAACTTAGTTTTCAAAGTACTGTAATTTGGTAGGTTCATTGCTCCATGGACTGGATAAATTAAGATCCTTAGGAAATCCTATCTGTAGTTTTACCACCATGCCCTCCATCTTTTTGGCAGGATTGATAAAAATTATTTCTGTTTCTTTTTTTTTCTTTTCTCTCTTCTCTTCCTTCTTCTTCTTCTTTTTTTTTTTAACAGCCCAGTGGGAATGAGAGGTGCAATGTAAATATTAAAAGTTGGTGCTAATTGCTTGCTCTTTTAGCAGATGAACAATCTGTTTCATTGTGTGAGTTTCTGGGTCATTTCTATACTTCCTATGAAAAGCTCACTTAGGCTTTAGACTTGTCACTAGCAGTTGGATTAGTGCTTAAATGAAAGCTTATGGTATAGTTGCAACAGTTTGCAGAAATTCAATTATTTATCCCTTAGAAGTTTTGATCCATGAAAGAACTTCTATTTCAAACATGTGGTTGAACTTTTAAAATCATGGTATTTAGTCTTCAGCTTTTGGATTTTTTTTTTTTTTTTGGTTTCTATAGTGTGAATTAATCTGTCTCAGGATTAGCTTTAATGGGAAAAACCAAAAGTAGTTGAGCCTTATAGTTTAATTATCAGTCATGGCATTTGTGGACTGAACTGGTTGGTATGATTGTATGTCAACAATTATTCTTCAGAGCTTAGAGATGCTTTATTTCCGTTGTTTTCTGTGAAATGAATTGCTTTCATGTTATGTGAGGAATAATTGGTTTGAACTCCTTTTCCGGACTAACAAGTATTCTTTTGTTTTGATTACAGAGTCTGCATGTACGCATGTAAGAGAATCTAAGAGAATAAAAAATGTCAGATGATATCAGGAAAAGGTTTGAATTTCCAAATTCTCTTATCCAGTCACAGGTAATTTTTATTTTAGTCATTTTTGCTTCATGGTAACAAATGAACCTTGTTGGTGGGTTGTTGATAGAACTTTATATTTTTAACATTGAATATTTTATTCTATGTGTAGAGATAATCACTGTTCTATTAACTTTCATATAAGTTAATTTGAAAATTTATGTTTGAGGGTTGCCTGGCTGACTCAGTCGGTGGAGCAGGTGACTCTTGATCTTGGGGTCATGAGTTCAGGCCCCACGTTGGATGTAGAGATAACTTTAAAAAAATAAAATGAGGGGCACCTGAGTGGCTCAGTCGGTTGAGTGTCCGACCGGTTCAGGTCATAATCTTGAGGTTTGTGGGTTCGAGCCCCACTTTGGGCTCTGTGCTGATAGCTCAGAGCCTGGAGCCTGCTTCAGATTTTGTGTCTCCCTCTTTCTGCTCTTCCTCTACCCACACTCTGTCTCTCTCAGAAATAAACATTGAAAAAGAAATTTGTGTGTGATGGAGGAGGGTAAATATTGGAAACTGATGAATCTCCACTTCTATTTATATCATACTTTTCTTAGACATAATAAAAATTGATTAACCAGGAGGCCCTTGAATCTGTATTTTTTTTTTAGCCCATAATTAATTTTGGGGAATAGAAATAAATGATTCTGCATCTACAGAATATGAGAGATTAATGTTTAACATGGTATATCTCACCCCTGTACACCGGTTAAGAATAAGAGATTTTGATAGTTACTGACATTCAGTACTTTAATCCAAGATAAAATATCTTGGATTAAAAACTGTGATGTACGTACTACTGCAGGCCGGGGTTGGTGATAATTTATTTTAGAGAGCCTTGTGGTTATTAGGGTTAAAACAAAAGTGATTTCCTGGTCCTCCGTCCTCTAACCAGAAGCTTTCTGGTTAGTCGAGGTACCATAATGCCTTACTGTCTTTCCTTGTGCGAGTGAAGCTGAGGGGCCAGCAGAAGCTTGCCCGAAGACGGAGCGACGTCCAGCGTCTTGGCTGCTTCCGACACTTAGCTCCGGAGATGCCTGCTGTGGGAATTGACTTAGCTGGGCAGTGGGGAACCCTTCCATGAGGAGTAGAACACTCCTTATGCAAGATTCCCTTCTACCTGACTGGGTTGGAATCCTATCCTGTGCGGCACAGGTCCTTACCATGAAGAGGACGATGAAGGCTTGGAGGAGACTGTCCGCAGTTTTTGTTTTTCTGTGCCCTCAGCCGCTTTGTTAGTGTAGACAACTGAAGAGATGCCTGCGTGTGTTACTGTTAAATTAACCGCAAAGTGCACATGTAATATTTCATGGCGAATGTCTCTTTATTCTATTATGGAAAACTTAAGTAGTGATGTAGGATCATTTATCCCTGTTTTGTACTTTAAAATCTTGTTACTTTAAAGCCAATTTAGCCTATATTCTCTGATGTGTTAGAAAGATACATAAAAAGGCAAGCGTAAGAAGTTGAACCTGGTGGCCAGTGGGGAGCTGTTTGTCAGGAAGCTGATTTTCTTTTAGTCTTTTTTTTCCCCCTTAAAATGAATGGTAACTTTTTTAAACTTTATATTTTTTTTGTCCCTGTTGTGTTTGACATTCATTTTATTTGGTTCTTGCAACTGTGCCTTGTTCTCTGTGAATACTTCTTATTGTTCCTTTGTAACCACTGCTCAGTGTTAGCACCATATTTCATTGATTCACACACTTTTTTTTCACATATTAACGTCTTTGAAAATGGGTTGCATCTAGTAATTCATGGCAGCAGTGGCTATACAGCTGGTATTGCCTGCCCAATTGCGAACTTGGCCATGATTTTCAAAATGAGTCTGAAAGGACTCTTACGTTAATATAAAAACCACAGTCTACGTTAGAAGGAGCATTATATAACATAGATTTAATTGGCAGCCTTTTTTCCTTAGTGGTACATAAAGTAATGGTGCATCTTGCCGTCGATGGCCCGTTACATTCAATGAAATATGGTCTGTTTTGCAAATGGGCACCAAAACTGTTCATGGGTCTTCATTTCTTGTTACTATTGCTTTCACTGGGAGTAAGAGACAGTTAATTGATCTTAAACTTAATATTCATGTAAACGAGTGATTTATATTGCAAAACGGAGATCATCATGCTCTGAGGTCCTAAAGGATTTCTACTGTGTGAATTACAAAAAAGGAACAAAGGAGCGGCGGCTTTGTTTTTCTGTGAGCTTTTCTGGAGACTTAAGTGAGCACAAGACTGACAGGGATTCACAGGTGTACCATACACTGGTCCAAGTGCAGGGTCAACACTTGGCTACAGTTGGAAAGTTATTTCCCAGCCCGTGCACAGAGTGGCCGTGACTGCTGCCATCCTGCAGCTTTAGGATGGCGGTGCTGGTCGTGCTGAAGAGCTAGAATGGAGTTGAGGTGGTACGAAAGATATTTATCCCCTCAGGTCATCAACCTTCCTGTAAAAGTCTTAGATGTAATTTTGGGCTTTTTGACCACAGCAGGATATGGAAAAATTTTAGAGATTCATGAGACCAAAAACTTATTAAAGGACTGAAACCTATGAGAAAAATAATAATGAAATTAAATCACAGAGCCTCCATGAGAGAGAACAGCTGTGGTGGGGGGATACCTCTTGGTTCTGATCAGCGTGGGCCATGGTGATAAAGATGGGGAGGAGTTTTCTCCATCTTTGTTAAGGGCATGATGAAGCATGATGGATTTCATTTAGATGCAAAAAATGATTTTTAAAAGCTGTGGAGTTTTTCATTTGTCTCATGGTTCAATGGGTGAAGCTGCCTCGCGTTATCTTTTAATACTAAGTGACGGCAATTTGAACTGAGAATCCGGCAATTTTCCTAACCTCTGTGAACTATAGTTTGCTTATTGGCATCAAAATGCTTACCTTGAGAGTTGTTATGAAGATAAGAAATTATGTGTGCGGAATACCCAATTCATGCCTTCTGCAGAGCACACACTCCAATGACTGGGACTTGACTGCCTGGCACACTGATACGCCCTGTCAGCTAGTATTGGTATGAGTTACCTTCAAACGCACTAATTGGAGAGAACTTCTCACACAATGTATTTACTCATCACTTATTTATTTACTTATTTATTTTAAGGCTGTGGGTCATCTTATCGCTGCGGTCCTAAAGGAAAATGGCTTTTCAGAAAAGATCCACCAATCCACAAATCAGGTCTGTATTCAGCTTTGTGCTTGGGTTCTATGCCAATGCTGTTGCCAGCTGCACATAGGCTCTTCTTTTGTTTCTCCCACAGTTCAGGTCACTGTAGAAAGGAGAAGTTCATTGCCATGGTGTATTTATTTTGCTTTTTGGTTTTTTTTTGTTTGTTTTTTGTTTTGCCATGTTCTTCCAAATTCTTGACAATTTAAAAATTTGTTACAGCAGACTCCAGGAATGAGCTATGGAGGGGGTAGTGAAGGGGAGGAGTCTTGTGACTATTAGGGAAAAATAACACGGGTAGAATGAGGGTAGACATGCCTTAGAGAAGGTTGGTAGGATTAGCTCTGAGGGAATATCTTTTGTTTAATAAAGTGAATATAGGGGCTCAGTGTGAATGCAGGTGATTTTCTTGTGCCTTATGGTGCCCCCAATAGGAGTTCTCAGTTGGAAGGTCATGCTTTGGTGCTTGGAGCTGAAGGGGCATTTCCAGACCAGGCATAGGACAGGTGAATGCTAAGAGTTGAAGCAGTGCTCGGCTTACTGAGGTATATACCACTCGGGTTTTGGTCAGCTGGCATTGTGTATTTTGACGTGCTGGTTGGAAACTCCACATAAGTAGGTGCTCTAAGGTAAACTCTGTGGAAAATATAGGTGATGGAAATAAGATTATTTTTCTCACAGCTGAAGTAAATTGATTTCCTTTCTCACACATGGCTTTCTCCCCCTGTCCCCCCACATTGCGTTTGATCAGCAACTCCAAGTTACATCTCTTCATAGCTTCTGCTGCCTTGTTGAAATGAGCGTAGAGGCAAACTTCTCTAATTGGCATTTGTCTGGTATTTGTATGTAGTCCTATAAATTAGGTTTTCCGAGAACCCTGATCTTAATCCTGCCTATAATCACATTATGTACTCCGAGATGATCTAGTGGTTTTACTTAAACTGCCAGGATTTATTGAATGTCAAACTCCTGTAACTAAATGTTTTCTCTTCTGTTAATAAATGAATGCTTACTTCCACAAGGGCACAGTATTACCTGAGGCAAAGGTTTTTATTCATTTATTTCATTTTTCTGGCTTCTAATGGAGTAATGACATTTAGACCCTTTGATATTGGCCGTACAGGTGAATAAAATTTCCTTCTGAATAAAAGAAATGGAATATAAATATTTCCTTCCTGCAGTGACTATGAACTATATTGTTCTGTTACAGTGGATCCTAAGACTGAAAAAGCTCTCGGAGCCAGGTATAGTGGGAAAGCAGGCACAATATGAGGTTGATTTTCATTCTTTTCGTTACTCTGTGGGAGCTGAGGATCTTAATTTATTTTCTCAAATTATATATTTTTCTAATAAGTTATGTCAGAAGGAGGGAAAAATAACTTCATTGTGTGTTCTTTAAATATATTAAAACAAAAACAATTAACACCCCAAAATCGCACGCAAATCTAAATGGACTTTACGCACACTGTATTCAAAGATGGGTTTATCTTGAGTCGTGAACCTCTGGGGGGTGGGTCCTGGGTTCCTGAGAAAGTTATGAAAGCTAGAATATCTGCTTTTATAGGATTTTTCAAAATAAAGAATTTCTATGTTCTTCTGTTCCCTTCTGGTGCTTTTCTATCAAAGATGACAGCTTCATGATGTGATAGGGCAAAAAGACAGTTTCTTTCTTTCTTTTTTTTTTTTTAAATGTTTTTTATTTATTTCTGAGAGAGAGAGAGAGAGAGACAGCGTGAGCAGGGGAGGGTCAGAGAGAGGGAGACACAGAATCTGAAACAGGCTCCAGGCTCTGAGCTAGCTGTCAGCACAGAGCCCGACGCGGGGCTCAAACCCATGAACCGTGAGATCATGACCTGAGCCGAAGCCGGATGCTCAACCGACTGAGCCACCTAGGTGCCCCAAGTCAGTTTCTTTCTTGACCAAAACGGTTTTCCAGGCTTCTCTTGGTAGTTGTGGGCGGTGCAGCTAGCTAGTGTCCTGTTTTACTTCACTGTCTTTTTTCTGGGCCTGCATTCAGCTTCAGTAAATTGGGGCAGGGACACTGTGGGGGTGGGATGGGGTGCATGTAGACGGTAGAGGTTGGTGGCAGGAGAGCAGAAACATGTTCTAAAAGTGTTACTGCATTTTGGGCTTGAAGCATAGGTATGATTTGTAGCACTGTGCTGACCTCGATGGTGTCTGGTTAAAGGGCTTGGTTAGAGCTCGGCGCGAGAGCCAAGTCTTAGTTTTGATCTCCTGTTGGTTTTGTTGCGTTGCTCAAACCCAAGCCGTACCTCGGAGTGCAGCAGCCTCATTTTGCACCAGATGAGAGAGAGCTGCTCTGTCTGAACCTATCCATTATCTCTCCTGGAAAGCTGACTTTAGTTTATTCTACAGATGGTAGGACAAGAGCATCATCTTTGCAGAGGAAAGCTCGCCTGCTGGGAGCAAATTTGATGAACGGCTGGGAGTATGTATGCTTTTGCCACTCATTGGAAGTGTCTTCTAATCACTGGTTTGATTTCAGACTCCGGCTTTGAACTTGCTGTGGGAGAAGTGTTGCAGTGATAATGTGGTGGTTCGAACAGCCTGCTGTGAGGGTCTGGTGGCACTTGTTGTCCAGGATCATGCAGAGTTCAGCTATGTGCTCAATGGGATTCTCAACCTGATTCCATCGACCAGGTAGTCTTTCTACTTGACTGGTAAAACTCTTACATTTTTAGAAAAAAAATGCACTAATTTGGCATTAAAGGTCAACATTCACCCTACTTGCCAGTTGATTTTGTTTCCCTTAAAATGTCATGCCACTGATATTTCGTAGGTGCCAATGTAAACTCTCTAGTTTTGGAATTTGTGGTCATTTGCTGTATTGTAAGTTTTTAGGGCTCTGCTTAAATTTGTCATTGCTTTAAAAAAAATTTTTTTTTTGATGTTTAGTTTTTGAGAGAGGGAGAGAGAGAGTTGGAGCAGGGGAGGGGCAGAGAGAGATGGAGACAGAGGACCTGAAGTGGGCTCTGTGCTGACAGCAGAGAGCCCGACGTGGAGCTCGAACTCACAAACCGTGAGATCATGACCGAAGCCAAAGTTGGACGCTTAACCGACTGAGCCATCAGGCGCTCCTGTCACTGATCTTTTTTTTTTTTTAATGAAGAAAATAGCTAAGTAGTTTATAATTCACAATTGCAGTGCAAATTCTTGACTTATATGAAGCAAGTAGGTTGCCCATAAGCAATACTACTCTCACAGTGGTAAAGTCTATATTCTATTGGTAATATTTGGTCAACCTTTGGCTTTAGTACATGTATTAGAAAATAATAGCATGGAAGCTCCTGGCTGGCTCAGTTGGAAGAGCATGCAACTCCTGATCTTGAGGTCATGAATTTGGGCCCCACACTGGGTGCAGAGATTTCTAAAATAATAAATAAAACTTAAAAAAAAAATAGCACTAATTTTTTAAAAAGTATTTTGTGATTTAGACATGTATCCTTTGATTATTTCAAGTAAAGAATGGGTGTTTTAAAATTTTTTGGTATGACTATTTTTTAAAGTTTATTTATTTATTTTGAGAGAGAGCATCTCAGGCATATAAGCACATGCGCGAACAGGGGAGAAGCAGAGAGAGGGGAAGGGAGAGAATCCCAAATACGCTACGTGTTAGGGCAGAGCCCGACAGGGGCTTGAGATCTATGAGATCATGACTGGAGCCGAAATCAAGAGTCAGATACTTATCTGACTGAGCCACCCAGGCACCCATAGTTGACTATGTATATTACATTTATAGACTAACAGTAATGGAATCGCAAGGGATAAAAGGGACATGCACCATTCTGAGGTGGTCAAGCAGGACCCTGTTTGATCCATGACCCGGAAGTGAATGTCTCCTGTGGCACAGCCCCTGAGAATGGGATGCCACTCTTTGGTGCAAGAAATGATCTTCATCTGTATGTCTTCAGTTCTGCCTAACTGTAAATCATTTGGGAATCTGCTCCCTTCTCTCAGTTCTTACCCAGCCTCCCAGACCCCTCTCCGTGGGGTTGCTTGCTTTCCCTCTGGCCCTCCGATATGAATACCTAATCTTTTCTTCTGCTTTCCGTGGAGGTGGAGTTCAGCTGTAGCTATCAGCCTGGGGAAGACGCCATCCTGGGCTTGCAAGCTATTAGATTGAATAACCTCTGGCCCTTTGACGTTGCTTCACAAACCTTATTTTGTTCCCTTAGATCATCTCTTTCTATCTTTCTGGAACCTTGATTTATCTTTATTTCTTTTTTTTATAGTGTGCTGCCTGTAGTTAAAAGTCCAAACCCTGTAGTGTGGTATACATGCCTTTTCCCAAACTAGTGCCAGCCTTCTATGCAAACTGTGTTTCTTGTCTTGAACGCTCCTCTCTGGCCACACGTAAGCCTTCCTGTTCCCTAGTCCTGAGCCTCTGCATGAATGGGAATGTTCTCGTTTTCCTTCTGATAGCATCTTTCCCATGCCTCAAGGTTCAGTGCCTTCTGCTGCTTAGATAACCTCTCTCTTCCCAGCTGGGCTACTTTGTCTTTCACAGTATATATTTTTTAAATGTGTATTTTTATATTTAGCACATTTTTTGACAGTTATTAGATGACCAGATATTTCTGAATAAGAATTTGATCATGGCTAAAAATGTAATGATTTTCTGTCTTTTTCTTTGTGTGAATGCTCATACATGTGCACCTGTTAGTGTGCCCATGCGCATGCACAGACACACCATTAAAAAAGGAGTTTTGAAGAGGCTTTTACAGAGTTAAGTTTTGGGTCACCTGGAGGGCTCAGTCTGTTCAGCATCCAGCTTTGACTCGGGTCATGATCTCCCGGTTCATGAGTTCAAGCCCCACGTTGGGTTCTCTGCTCTCAGCACGGAGTCCGCCCCTGATCTTCTGTCTCCCTCTGTCTCTGCCCCTCCTGCGCTTGTGCTCTCTCCAAAATAAATACCTTAAAAAATTTTTTTAAGTTTTAATGTGTCTCTCTTTTAGCTAACTGGTTGATCTTAAGCAAACCACATCGATTTTGCCTTATGCCTTTTTTCAGATGCAGGTAATGATATTTGTTTTCTCCTAAATAGCTTTCAAAAGCCTTAAAATTCATAAACAAAATCGACTTGCACTGTGTAGTTGAACTGTTTACATTCAAAAGTAAGAGTAGTAGCAGCTGAGGGGCCAGAGTCATGTCTCTGTTCATATAAGGAAGAATTAAGAGTAGGTTAGATTATACCTTTTTTTTTTCTTTTAAGATTTTGTTTGTAAGTGATCTCTATGCCCAACATGGGGCTTGAACTTACAGCTCTGAGATCAAGAGTTGCATGCTCTACCAACTGAAGCCCCATGTTGGGCTCTGTGCTGGCAGCTAACCCACAGCCTGGAGCCCGTTTCAGATTCTGTATCTCCCTCTCTCTCTGACACTCCCCTGCTCATGCTGTCTCTCTCTCTGTCTCTCTTTCTCTCTCTCTCTCTCTCTCTCAGAAATAAATAAAACATTAAAATTTTTTTAAAATGAATAAACATTATGGGGCGCCTGGGTGGCTCAGTCAGTTAGGCGTCTGAATTCAGCTCAGGTCATGATCTCACAGTTCGTGGTTTGAGCCCTGCATCAGGCTCTGTGCTGAATGTTCGCTCAGAGCCTGGAGCCTGCTTTGGAATCTGTGTCTTTCCCTCTCTGCCCCTCCTCTGCTCACACTCTGTCTCACTCTGTCTCTCAAAACTAAATGAATGTAAAAAAAATGTTTTTTTTAATGAATAAACATTAAAAAAAAAAAAACTAAAAAAAACCTGATCTCCAGGGGCACCTGGTGGCTCAGTCGGTAGAGCTGAAGTTGGATGCTTAACCAACTGAGCCACCTAGGCGCCCCCATTTAAAATTTTTTTTAAATGTTTATTTATTTTTGAGAGAGACAGAGACAGAATGGGAGCAAGGGAGGAGCAGAGAAAGGGGGACGCAGAATCTGAAGCAGGCTCCAGGCTCTGAGCTGTCAGCACAGAGCCGAAAGGGGGGTCAGGTCCATGGACTACGAGATCATGACCTGAGCTGAAGTTGGATACTCAACTGACTGAGCCACCCAGGAGTCCTCTTATTTTTTTTTTAAATCTTTTTTATTTTTCAGTGAGTAATCTTATACATAAAGGTGTCCATTAGTTTTCAAGAATTTTTGGAAATATGGTCAATACACAGAAGAAAGCCTTGCATTTTACAGTAATCAAATTTAGGAATTTTAACAATCGAAGGATCCCGGGGAAACATTTTTTTCCCCACAGTTTCTTATCTGAGAATGTTCTTGTCTAACTTATAAGCCACAAGCAGAAGTAGACAGGCTAACCAATTTAGTTTTGGAATCAATTTGGTGATGAAACGTGTTATATAAGCGCTATGTTTTTTTTTTGTTGTTGTTGCCAGTAGAGATAATAATTATTTTTCAAGAATTTTTTTCAGTTGTTTTATTTCAAGTAGCAGAGCTTTGTGGTTTGTAGTGATCACAAAGACTATACTTTGCATTGTTTATGTCTTTAAAAAAATGGAAATCAAATTTAAGAAATTTAATTTAATTTAATTAAAAACAGGAGACTCAAACAGCCTCTGCCTTCAAATGCTGTTCCAGGAATTTTCTGACACACAAAACCATCTTTTTACCATGCAAATGGAAGCAAAAAAAGAAAACAACAACAACAAAAAAAACCCACAAAAAAACCTGGGACACTGGTACTTCTGTAGCACAAAACAGACTTTAAAACAAAGACTATAACAAGAAACAAAGAAGAACACTGTATAATGATAAAGGAGACAATCCAGCAGAAGGATATAATAATTATAAATGTTTATGTACCCAAAAAGAGAACACCTAAATATATAAAGTAACTTTTGATAGACATAAAGGAAGAAATTGAGTAGAGAAGAAGAACAGACAGAAAGGAAGTAATACAATAATAATGAAGACTGTAACTCCCCGCTGATAGCATTGGACAGATCGTCCAGACAGAAAATCAACAAGGGAAACAGTGCTTTTAAATGACACATTGGAGCAGATGGACCTACCGGATTTATCTAGAACATTTCATCCCAGAACAGTGGAGTACACATTCTTTTCAAGTGCATATGGAACATTCTCCTTAATAGATTAGATGTTAGGCCACAAAACAAATCTCAGGAAATTAAAGATTCAGATCCTGCTCTGCATCTTTACTGAGCACAACAGTATAAAACTAGAAATAACAAACAAACATACTAAAACCCAAAAAAACCCCACCATCTTTATCTTTGGGATGTCAAAGCAGGAATGACCTTGTCATTTCCCTGTGTTTCCTGGCTGAGACATTTTGGATCTTCAGTTTCTAGTATTTAAATGTCTACATGTCTCTGGATTTCTCTTCTTAAATAGAGGTTTATCAGAATCTAGAGGCACCCTGGGAGCAGAGCCGTTCAGTAATTGCTCAGCTTTGATGGAGAGCAGTAATTCTAAAATGCTATCTTTACATTTTGCCTACCTGCTGGCCTGGCAGCCTTTAGGAACTGAGAGAGAGATTGATAGAGGGAGGAAGCGAGGCATAGTGAGAAGCCGCCTTCTACAGAATAGGTATTTTAGGGAGTGTGGCTTCTGGAGCTTTCTCAGCATTACAGTGAATGTTGAAAGCTGTAAGGAAGACTGAGGTCATCGCGCCTAGCCCTCTCAC